TTTGATGTAGATGGAGAAGGATCCTAACTTGACTCACTTCTCTGATCAGACAGTTAAATTTGCTCAATTACTTGGGCCTGCTAGGTGGGGGCCTCAGAAATTAAGATCAGATCTTCCACAGAAAATATGTGGGACTTTGCAGCCCAAACCTCATGGCTCTAATTAAGTGAATAACTTCTCCATAGATAGAGCAGTGCCTTGGTTCTTTCTTTGTGCTGAAGTGATCAGTCAAGCCATGATCAATTAAAAACGCACACTCTCCTTGATGAAAATCCAATTCACTCAATTTTCCCAACCATTAATTTTTTTAGGTTTTTTCCCCTCTAGACATTATATACTAATTCAAGAGTTCTTGGGCAAGCAAGATCATACATATATAGTAATATGTGGGTGCCTGGGACAAAGCTTATTTGATTTGGAAAAATTGACTGATTAAGTAGTAATTTACGCATCGGGGAATGAGATTAGCCTCGCTTCGAATAGGAGACAAGACAATATAAGATGTATATTATTACTAGGGTTTTTTGAGATAAAACTCCACGTTGTATTATTCAGCCGAATTCCCTAATTAATTAGTAAATTAATCAAATCGATTAGTAGCAGTAGTCATGAATAAGTAAATAAAAGCATAAATTATTGACAATTATGTTGCGGAGAAGTTGAGCTTAAAACAGCACAAAAGAAATATATAATTGCTAGTAAATAGAGGTAGGAGCAAACATGGAGTTTGACATTAATTCATGAAATGAAAATGGGTAGGTTCATCAGTCTTCTTCCTGGCTAACTAATTAAGGGCCTGTTTGGGAGTGCTTCTGAAAGGGCCAAAAGCGCTTTCTAATAACTAAAAGCGCTTCTGACAGCGTTTGGCAGAAAAATTTAGAAGCGTTTTTGGGTCATAGAAGCGCTTCTTGGAGAAGCACCTGCTATGTGCTTCTTCAGGAAGCACTCCCAAGTGCTTTTCCACGAAGCACTTTAATTTTTTATGAAAATTCAAGATTTTTATAATAAAAGCGCTTTTATTAGAAGCGCTTATGAGCAGAAGTACTTCCTAGAGTGATCGTTTTTATAAAAAAAAAAATACAAGTGATAGTCTAAACTACAAGGGAAATGAGATTACCAATCTGCAAGTCAAAGCCCTTTCCATTAGACTAGACCCCGTTGATGAAGATTGTTAAGTGAGAAAAATCGAGAACCGAATTGGTCTAGGTTAAAACTCTTTTTCTTCTTCCATCTACTTGATTTGATTCAATTCAGAAATTTACCGATTGAAATGCCGACCCATATAGAATTCTATCACACCCCTATTTTCAGTCAATATTGTCTGTTCTAACCTTTCTACTAAGAAATAAAGTCAACACCAGATTCAACTTATTTGAATTATTATTATTCATCATAAGTAAACAATATCGTGTAGCAAGTGGCTGTAGTATGTGAATGTCGTGTAGCCTTCCTCTTCTACCTTTGGACTAATTTGTCAATTTGAATTTTTGAACCCAATTAATAATATAATTAGTGAAACTCCCTTAATAATATAATCAAGACTTTTTAAAAAAAAAAATAAAAAGAGAAAAAGAAAAAGAGAGGCATAGTCTTTGGTCTTATCGTCTCAGAAGTCAGAAGAGGAGACCCAAAGAGCACTCAATAAATATTCATATTTAGGAGGAGGAGGCGGGGAAGAAAATTCAAAGCTCCACCCGACGTACGTCCTCAGTCTTTCTGTACATCCGTGTTCACACGTCGACGGACTGGACCCCACACTATACACACAAGAGAGTCGTACAATATATATATATAGCAATTTTATTTTTTGGTCGTTGTTTTATTATTGGCCACTGCTTGCTTGCCTTTTGGGTCTTTGACTGAAAAACACGTTTAAAATGTAAAACTCATCACGCAATTACATTCATAGATATTTCCACCTCCATTTTTTCTTCTTTTAAAACTCATCTTCTTAATCACACCTCCCCTATTGATTAGAATAATATAATCCTATTATTTTTGTTCATTCATATAATTTTCTTAATAAATTAGAATGTGGATTTTATTGAAGAAATTTCCTTTCGTTGTCCTCAAGTACTTTTGGATATGTGTACAAAGAAATAAGTAAGTAATCCATTGTGAAAGAAATAAACTAAAACCCTTTATAACTATTTTATAAAAATTAGGGTTTGGCTCCATTTTTACTATGATTATAAAGACAATTACTCACATAAATACTGTGTTATAAGAGGTTTGTTAAACTACAGGTCCATTTGGAAGTACTTTTGAAAGTTAATAATCATTTTGAATGGTTTTAAGTGATTTTAAGACCAAATACACATGAGGTGCTTCTTTCCATAATCAATTAAAATCGCTAAAGGAGAAGTTCTTTTAAAAAATGAAAAAACGTCATGGGTATTATAGGAATATCACTGCCCATTAACTGTATTTTCCCATGCAAGCTATTTTACGCGCAAACAAACCAAACAGTAAGGCCTTAACTAAGCAACAGGCCCACATTTGACCAACGACCACTTGCACACACCAAGTCAAAACGACGACGTCACCTTCGTCTTCAAAAACACCTCCCAAGTTGTGCTTTCTTCCAAAACTCAAAAGCTCTCTGTGACTCTCTGAGCTCTGAGCAGCAAAGACCAAGCAGCGAATTTCAGAAAATGGTGAGGGACGAACTGTACATAACCGTACCGAACCTCTTCCGGTGCCCAATCTCAATGGACGTGATGAGGTCTCCCGTAAGCCTCAGCACCGGCGTCACATACGAGCGCACCAGCATCCAGCACTGGCTCGAATCCGGCCATGACACCTGTCCCGCCACCATGCAAATCCTCCAGTCCAAGGACTTCGTCCCCAACCTCACTCTCCGCCGTCTGATCAACCTCTGGGCCCAATCCCACGGCCCCGCCTCGCCGGCCTCACCTCCTTCTCTCTCATCCCATCAGCTCACCTCCCTCGTCCAGTATCTCGAAACGGAGAACGAGAAATTCAACCAGAGTCTCCTCCACTCGTTGTCGAAGATGGTCGATTTCGCTAAAGCCGGCGACGAGAACCGGAAGTTTTTGGCGAATTTCAACGGTTTCGTTCCCGCCATTGTTGGGGTTCTGAACAGAGAAGGCGTCGAAATCGAGGTTCTGGAATCGGTAATTAGGGTTTTGGATTTGATTTTGCCTCAAAATGGAGTCAAAGAACAATTGCGCCAATTGCTTACGAAAAGCAACCGAAATTGCCTCTCTTCGATTCGATTGCTGTTGCAGAAAGGCAGCCTGAGCTCGAAGATCGAATCCGCCAGGGTTCTGGATTCGATCGCGCTCGAGGCCGAGTCGAAACGATTAATCGCAGAGAAAGAAGGCTTATTGTCCGTACTAAACGATCAATTGAGTTCAGAAACCGATCAGAACCTACACGGCGTCGTTTTCTCATGCTTAGCATCCGTGTCAGTGACTCGTACAGTTAAAGCGGAACTCGTCCGGCTCGGACTCGTCCGAGTCATCACAGCAACACTCTTAAACCCTGACACTACCATCTGGCTGGCGGAAAAGTGTTTAAAGCTTCTGTCCACGATTGCCACGTGTGCGGAGGGTCGGTCTGCGATAAGCGAGGAGGAGAAATGCGCGGCGGCGGTGGCGGAGAGGCTGATGAAGGTGTCGAGATCGGCGACAGAGGACGGCTTGGCGGTGTTGTGGAGTGTGTGTTGCATGTTGGGGGATAAGAGGGCTAGGGAGAGTGTGGTGAGGAGCAATGGGGCGGCAAAGGTGTTGTTGGTGATGCAAAGTGGATATGGGGAGGGGAATTTTGTGAGGAGGATGTGTGGGGATTTGATTAAAGTTTTGAGTGTTGGGTTGGGGTTGGGGTTGAGCTATGACACCAAAACTTTACATATCATGCCTTGTTGAAAATGTTGTTGATTGTATTGGAAACTTTACTTGATGATTTGGATCATTTTTTCGGATTGTGGATTTGATGGGAAAATTAATACAAGAAAAGGGAAATTCTTTTTGTTCTTTTGTTTAAATCTTTCATCTGCTTTTTTTGTCATTGGTGTTGGGAAAATGGAATCATGTTCTATGATTGCTTGTTTTTTGGGGGATTGTGAATCTGCAATGAGTTGATTTAGATGGCTTCTATCTAGTTGTAAAGGAGCAAAGTTGGCAAGTGGCAAATGATTTAACACAAACATACAAGTGCTAAAAACAATCGAAAGATAAAGACATTTTGTTAAATCTCATATTCAGAAACAGAGCAAAGTTCACTTCTTTCCTTTCTTTTTCTGATTCTGAAAGTTTTTTAATGATGAATTGGGGTTCTCAAGGAGTGATTATGGAATATTACGGTAGTATGGTCATGTGGTAAATTTTGTACTGGTATTATAATAATTTGTGAGATATGTTTACCAAAAATCGAGTAGGGCGAACAAATAGTGCTTTGCTTCTTTTCTGGGGTGAGCTAAAAAAGATAAAAACTGAAAAAAACATTTTGTTTGATGAAATTGTTCAAAGTATCAACATCAGTCCTGCCAATTGCTTTCCGTCAAACAATTGATTTCTGGAAAATGTTCTTTCAATGGTGGAAGAATTAGGTACAAGTAGCAGGACCCAAATTTCAAACACCAGCAGTCATGGTAAACAAAATATGACCATCACAGGTTTTGAATTGTTCAACAGAAATCAACTGCACGGCACACTTTGTTCAACAAATTTGACTTATTTTCCTCTTACTTAGAAAAGTAAAACAAATTGAAGTTGAAGTTGAATCTCACCATCCAGAGTCAACCATCACCAAAGACATTTTTCTTCTTGGGAAACAGGAACCAATTTCTGGTTTCCACTCTCTTTGGAGACTTTTAAGTTAAAAGACTTGGAATTTTGACTTGGTGGAATGGAAATATTTCTCACTTCCTTTGATTGAGGCCTTGATAAATGCAAGATACATACTTTACTATCTTGCAGATTAAAATTATATGAGAAAAATAAGCCTCTCCAAAGGACAAGAAAAAACTTCAACCAATGTCTGCAACTTTTCTATTTCTTCTTCCATTTACTATATTCTCTATTTTTGCAGCTGCTCAACCAGGAACTTCCAACATTAGCTTAGGTTCTTCTCTCTATCCCAATAACTCACACTGGTTATCGAGTTCGGGCCAGTTTGCCTTCGGCTTCTACAGAGAAGGCAATGACTTGGCCATAGGCATATGGTTTGAGAAAATCCGGCCACAAACAATCATATGGACAGCAAACCGGGATGTTAAGTTGCCACGCTCCGAAGATGTTAAATTGAATTTGAGTGATGGAGGAATTAGTGTCATCTTACAAGATAAGCAAGGCTTATCACCACCCATTTCAAATATTACTGAGCCTGTTGCATGGGCTTCCATGCTTGATTCTGGTAACTTTGTCCTCTACAACTCAAATGCAAAGATCATTTGGCAGAGTTTTGATGCTCCAACGGATACCATCTTAACTGGTCAGCGTCTGCTGGCTGGGAGGAATCTTGTCTCTAGCATCTCTGCCACGAATCACGCGACGGGAAGGTTTCAACTTTCCATGCAGCATGATGGGAACCTGGTGCAGTACCCAGTGAATCCAATTTCACCAGCACCTCAGTATGCTTACTGGAATACTGAGACATATACTGCTGGAGACAATGTGTCTCTGAACCTTGATCACAATGGACAGCTATATCTTCTCAATTCCACTGGTTTCTATATAAAGAATATTACTAAGCAGACACAGCTGTCTGACAACCGTGTATTCCGTCTAACGATTGACTTTGATGGAATACTTCGGTTGTATTCTCATAGTTTGACTCAGAATGATTCATGGTCAATTGAGTATTCATCATCTTCTGATAAGTGTGCTCCTCTGGGCCTCTGTGGCTTAAATGCATATTGTGTTCTCATAGATGAGGATCCCCCTTGTTTATGCCTTCCCGGTTTTGTTTTCATTGATCAAGGCCGAAAGGATTTAGGTTGCAGGAGGAACTTCAGTACCGTTGATTGCGCGAACAAGAATGAAACTAGATATTCCATTACTGATCTTGATGGCCTTGAATGGGAAGACAACCCATATTCTGTTCTCACATTGAATGAGACTGCTTGTAAAGAGGATTGCTTGAGAGATTGTTACTGTGAAGGTGCAGTTTATAAGGACAAGATGTGCAGAAAACAGAAGTTTCCGCTAAGATATGGAAGAACTGATGAAACTGCTTCAACCCTAGTCAAAATTGGCATTGAGAGTTCAGGGACAAAAACTGTGAGCAAGGGAAGAAACAAACTTCAAACAGACATCTTTATTAGCAGTGTTGCAATGTTAACTTTTGCACTAATTATTCTAGCAATTACTGGTGTTGTTAGTTACAGATATCGTGTTTGGGGGTACAAAAAGTGCTAAAACATAGAGAATATTGAGAGTAGAGAGTGGAAAGTGTAGAGAGAATGAGAGTTGTAGAATATTTTCTGATTTTTCACTTATGTTTCATTCCTTACAATCAACATACATATTCTGAGCTTGAAAAGGCAACCAATGGTTTCACTGATGAAGTGGGCAAAGGAGCTTTTGGGACAGTTTATAAAGGGGTCATATCAAATGGTGGGAGAGTAGTGGCGATCAAGAAACTAGAGAAAGTGGTGGGTGAAGGAGAGCGAGAATTTCAAAATGAGATGAATGTAATTGGGAGGACCCATCACAAAAATCTGGTTAAATTGCTTGGCTACTGTCATGATGGATCAAACAAGCTTTTAGTTTATGAGTACATGACCAATGGCTCACTTGCAGATTTCCTTTTCAGATCTGATGGAAGGCCAGCTTGGGAGGAAAGAATTGGTATAGTTCTCGATGTAGCTCAAGGCATACTTTATCTACATGAAGAGTGTGAGACACAGATCATCCACTGTGACATTAAACCTGAAAATATACTAATGAGTGAGCGAAAATGCGCAAAACTTGCTGATTTTGGATTGGCCAAGCTGCTCAAATCTGAGCAAACCAGGACACATACTAGGTTCAGAGGAACCAGGGGGTATGTTGCACCGGAGTGGCATAGAAACATGCCGATAACAGTGAAAGCAGATGTATATAGCTTTGGGGTTGTGTTGTTGGAGATCATATGTTGTAGACGAAGTGTGAATATGGACATTCCTGAGGATCAAGTAGTTCTTGAGAACTGGGTGTACCATTGTTTGGAGGCCGACGAACTGCATAAGCTAGTGCAGGATGAAGAAGTGGACAAGACTAAACTTGGGAGGATGATCAAGATAGGACTTTGGTGCATCCAAGATGAGCCATCATTGCGCCCGTCGATGAAGAAGGTGGTACTGATGCTGGAAGGGACAGTAGAAATACCAGCCCCTCCAAATCCTGAATCATTTTTCAGTTCCATAAGTTGTAAGGTAAAGCCAAACCCTAAAAAATAGGATAAGGTAAGGGTACGGAAAGTCAAGAGCAACCAAGCAAAGGCAAAGGCAACCAAACCCTAAAAAATAGGATAAGGCAAGGTAAGGCAAAGCATGGTAAAGTGTGGCAAGGTGGCTGATTGTTTATAGCCAGCACTCTAAGACCCAACTTGACAACACTAAATTCCAGAATGGAGCTATTCTACTGCAGACCATCAAGAGCTCAAGAAGATGAAGACTTTGCAGAATGCAGCCGTCTTAATTTAGTGACTGTAATTACTATGAAATTATGAGTGTTTAAAAAGAAAAGAAATCTAAATCTTGCCTAGAGGAGGCCTCTGCTGTGGAACAAGGCTGTGTGTGGATTCATCTTTTGATCAAGTTGTTGCTGCTGCTGCTGCCATGCCATGTTTGCATCTAACTAGGTTGTCATGCTAATAACTTCGAAATGGACTTATTTGCTTCCATTTCATCATTTCATTTGACACAAGGGAAACCTCTCTCTCGTTTTCAAATAGAGAAAAGCTGTCTCATCTATATATTTGGGTATGTTGTAAATCAATAATAAGATTAAAGTGGATGCCACCAATGCTTTCCTCCTAATAATACCTACCGAATGACTCACCCCATTATGCTATCAATATGTATGCAAACCTAACATTTGTGTAATATTATATATATAATATATTATGCCTATAAATAGGCATCAATATTAAAGAGGTGGTATGAATGTGGTATGAAAAATGTGGTAAGCGTAGCATTACCCTTAATAAAAATGGTGAACAAGTAGAAGAAGCCGAGAGAATATTGCTATGGCTCTTTCTCTATCTATACTCTCTTCTCTTGATTCCCTCGTGTTATATTCCCTCAGTTTTATAACACGTTATCAGCACGAATATCTCTAAAATACCAGCTGAGATATTCGATCAAATCCCTCTGCTTCATTACCTTTCTCTCTTCTGTTTTGATAATCTTCCAAAACCCAGGAAGGAGAAACCTATGCCGACATCAACACCATGGTAGACCGTATGTACACACCAAAGTTGCCACTTTCTTTTATTCCATTCTATAGCCCCAACCAGAAGAAGAACATGTTGATGGAGATCTTGGAGATCCCAGAGCAGCAACATATCAGAAAGGAGGAGAAGTGCTAAAGCCTCTTTTGAGGAGAACAGCAAACCCACCGAAAAAATAAGCAATAAGCTATCTTCCTCCTTATCTTTTCAACTATTTTATTATTATCCTACACTATTTAACACCAATATTAGTACAGGTGTGCTGGTGGCAGGTGGAAAGGAGCGTGATATTCATCACGCACTGGTTTCTTTACTTTCCTGATTACATATGTATTATATAATTGCATTATATAATATTATTATAGTATGATTTTAATGCATAAATATTACTTTATAGGGTAAATTTTACTTTATTACTTGATGGGCATATTTTATATTATATATTTAATTCTATTCTTAGTATATTTTGGTTAATATTTTGGAAGAATTTTGATACTTTAAATTATATTTTCAATATAGGACTTTCGACTTCCTCTGGAGCAAAGCATAAACAAATGGACGAATTTTGAAGTAATTCCAGTTGGAAGACGTTCGTGAGTCACTTAGCTTGATCGTATCAAAATTTCAGACTTTTCTACCAAGCGGTTATTTTCTGGCAATAAAATAAAGGAGCAGTGCGCAGTGCTGGAATAGTGACTGTTTGGGCCTTTATTGCGTTTTGGAGCCCAAGATGATCTCAGATGGGTTCGTGGCCTTCTGGAGAAGTGTTCAGAACGTTTTTATCTTTAAAACAAGCTATCTTGGGCC